GATCTGATAGAAACGCGCCAGATCCCGTCCGTGGTGCGCCTATGGGGGGGCCATGTAGAACTCCTTGGCATCCATGACCGATTTCTCCCACAACCGACTGTGAAGAGCGAGCGTTTTGGAGTACAACCGAACCAAACTCTGAAACAAATCCGATAGGCCTGAGGTCTCCAGAAGGTTTAGGAAACATCTGAACGCGGAGAAGCTGAACATCAGTAGGTTGGGTACCCAAGATATTCATAAGAGTAAGTAAACTGTTCAACGCATCCAGGCCCTCGGAACATAGGTGAGAATAATGTCTAGGGTGAAAACCTTCAACAGCAGTAGTGGAACGAGGGAAGGCTTGGGAGAGCTCGCGAAGCCGATCGGCAGCAGGGGCCGCGGGCACAGGTAGGCCGGCCAGGTCACGAAAACGTCGAACCTGCTTCGGCACCTCGGCCCAGGCCTGGCCCCACTCGCGAGCATGGTAATCGAGCCTCGCATCGATACTGGCAGAGGGGCCGTCAGCAGTGGGAACATGCTTGAAACAATGATCAGCAGCAAGTCGCGTATAAGCATGCCCCCACTTTGCTCCACCTGCCAACGCGGACTCGCACCACTCATTCCAAGACGCACGCTGGTCAGCACGGTCTTTGGCCAGCAGCTGACGGGCACATAGCCTAGCATGTTCCTCCCAGGAAGTGAGGTCGGCCACTGAGCCGAACCAGAAATCCTTCGGGTGCCTGAGGATCCTCAATGCAATGTCAGCGAGATGCTGATGCCAAACAGCTCCACCAGCCTTCCAGAAAGTACGGAACGGACCACCCTTCCTGACAAGCTGAGTGGTGTGCAGAAGGAGTTTCACAACATACGGATTATCCCAGGCATTCGGGTATCTCTGGTGCAAACACAAAATTTCCCGAAGGCGGTTGGCCGCCCAAAAAACAGCCCTGGAGGCCGACAACTTGAGGTTAACCTTGGCGGGGAAAAGCGTGGCCACTGGGACCTCCTGGAACACAAACCTTTTACCCCCACGAATGTGTCCTGGCTTCTCGTCGGTCTGGAACAGGCCTAACAGCTCGCTCCAGGCAATGTCAGCCCACTCACTGTAGGCCAAGTCTAGAACCTGCTGCAGGTCCTGGTGCTGGGCTTCGGATCCTGGAGCAGAAAAGAAGGGTGCCGTCCTCGCGGCGACAAGAATCTAAAGCAGTCTCCAACCTCCGAGCCACCAGGGCGTAGGAGGGAGGAGCGGGAGGGGGGCCGACGGGGAGAGCAATGGGGATGGAAGGGTAAGGGGTAAGTTTGTGAACCATCCTGACCTCCGTCTGAATATCTACGCAGAGTCGAGCAGGGCGATGAGGCGAGAGAGCCGCACTCATATCCACGGTGACTCTCGGAGCGCAGTGCAAAAAGTTCTTAGAGGTGATGAAATAATCCAAAGTCGTATTCACATCGCCGGAGACATAGGTAGGCACATTAGGGGCATGCTGCACTTCACCTCCAAAACGTCCAGGGGGGGGCCCAGTTGCCAACGCGGACGGGTCCAGGTTGAAATCGCCCCCCAGGACAAAAGGCATACCAGTGCGACATACCTTATTGCCAAACCATTTGCCCAACAAAACATTTGATTGGCTAAGCCCCTGTCCAGAGTACCAGTACATTGAACAGAGTTGGATAACACCGAAGCTGGAAGTTCTAAGAAAGCACGTAACAGCCCGAGACTTAGGGATGCCAGTAACCTCCTCAGAGTCCTCCCAAGCATTCAGATGCCTCCGAACTAAGATAGCGACTCCAGATTTGTAATGTCCAGGTTCCCTAGGCTCGGCGGGTCCCCAGAACGACATCCAGCCCTCAGCCAGAAGAGAACGTTTGGCCGAGAGCAACTTGTCGCCCATCAGCTTGGTCTCCTGGAGAAAAACCACATCCGACCCCAGGGTCCCTAGAACCTCATGGGCCGACTTAAAACACGAGCCATTTACAGTACAAAAAGACAGAGTGAGGCGCGGCGCAGGCGACCCATGGGGGTCAGGCTGCGCCGAGGAATCGCTACCCCCGCTCTGGGGGCTCCACAGGCGCGCCACCGCGCCTGGGATAACGACTGCCATCCTTAGCCTTGCTGCGCACTGCAGCTGTCGCCTGAGCGGGGCTCGCGGGCGCTCCTGCTGCCTTCGCAGCAGAAGCAGCAGCCGCCGATGCCGTCGCCTCAGCGTGCGTGGCTGCAGGTGGCTGCGCAGTCTCCGCCTTGACTTGGACTGCCTCTTTGCTGGCCTCAGGCTGCGATGGCGGCGCGGCAGCTGGCGCCGCGCCCACCACAGTGCTGGCTGGTGACGGGGCCGCGCTCTGAACAGCCTGAGACGCTAAGTGCTCATTGAAACAGCTGGCAAACAAAGTGAAGGCCGGCGCGAGACTGGGATTGCTCGCGATGCCTGCCTGGTCCAAAGCTGCCCTCAGATCAGCTAGTTGAAGCGATGGCCCTGAGACTCCCTGCGGAGTCGAAGCCGCTGAAGATGCCGATGCTGACAGGGCCAACTGTTGTTCGTGTTACTTAGTAAGCTCCTTCACTCGATCCTGGCTGGCGGTGAGGAGCTGCTGTTCGTCTGCGAGGATCTTACGCTTGCGCTCTAAGATACCTTCAGCTTCCAACACCGCCTTCTGGAAATTGTCAATATTCAACTTGTGGCGCTCCACAGCCTGGGTCGCCTTCTGCAGCTTCTGCGTAGACTGCTGGATGAGCTGAGAAGGTGTCTTCTGCGAATCTCGATCCCGACGGAGCTCCACAAGCAAATCACGGATATGATCACAATGCTGGCGTTGTTCTGGGCTGCCACCGTCTGCGCCGACACGCTTCTCGAGCGCGGTCAGTGCCTGCTGAACAGCCTGGATGGCTGGGCCAACGTGGGGCGATGAGCTCGACGAGCCCTTGCCGCCCATGCCGCCTGCGCCAGAGGGGGGAGGCGCCGCGGCAGGCTGACTGTTCCAGTGGCTGCCGCACTGCCAGCACCACTCATGATTCAATGAGACCTGAGCTTGGTAGACTCCGCAGCACCAACTGTAGTCCACACTCCCAGTCGTCTGGCTGCTGGACGATTTGCCACCACCCTTGTTCTTGCCCTGTCCCTTGCCCTTCTTGCCCTTGGCGTTGTCGCCCTTGGCCTTGTCGTGCTTGCCCATGACTGTGGCAAGCGGGTCACTCCTCGGCGACGCGTGATGAAGCCGAAGTCGGTGGGCGGCCGCCACAACTCTCAGAAGGGTCCGATCTGCCGCCCTCAAAGCACGGTCCCTCCGATGCCAAGCGGGGTTGGCTGGAGGGGGAATGGTGCGGCAGAAAAGTGGGATACAGTAATGAGGATAAGATTCGAGGCGCACAGGGCGCACCTCTGCCACGGACCTGCTCCGACAAAATGCCTGGGCCCAAGGCTCCTCCTCCTCCTCCTCCTCCTCCTCCTCCTACCTCCTCCTCCTCCTCCTCCTCCTCCTCCTCCTCCTCCTCCTCCTCCTCCTCCCTCGTCCCCCTCCTCCTCCCCTCCTCCTCCTGCTCCTCCTCCTGCTGCTGTTGCTGCTGCTTCTCCTCCTCCTCCTCCTCCTCCCTCCTCCTCCCCCTCCCCCTCCTCCCCCCTGTCCCCCCCCTCCTCCTCCCCCTCCTTCCCCCCTTCTCTTCCTCTTCCTCCTCCTCCTTCTCCTCGTCCTCCTCCTCCTCCTCCTCCTCGTCGTCCTCCTCTCCTCCTCCTCCTCTTCCTCTTCCTCTTCCTCTTCCTCCTCCTCCTCCTCCTCCTCCTCCTCCTCCTCCTCCTCCTCCTCCTCCTCCTCCCCCTCCTCGGAGGCGCCCTCGCGCGACGACCAGGGCCGTGCGCCGTCCCTCGTGCTCGAGCTTAGGATTCGGAATGCAAATGTCGCTACAGCTGCTGATTGTATTACGCACAGGTCCTACAGTCGAGCGTTTGATTCAGAAATATCCCCCGAGAAGTTGGGTCAGCGTTTCTTAACCATTTTGTCAGACAGCTGGCCCAGTTTATTGAGCGCGTTCGGCCCGCCAGCGTTACCACCACAGATTTGCCCAGGCTTGTCTCAAGAGAAGTCTGGGGCGCTGGCGCTAGCTCCTTGTGGGGTCATTTTCTTGATCATATTTGCAATTGTACTGTGAACGTGCGTATGTATACACGTATGTATGCGTGGAGTGGTACCGTGTGAATGTGTTGTATAACCGATTTGCAGCCAGCCCTGGTAGCTACGTAGTGTACGCATGATCTGTGATCATGTTGTAAAACTCATACGGAATAGTGGTCAGTAATTGTACACCGTGGCAGGCAGTTATATGTGTCGCAGAAGTCTTGCACAAACGCTGTTGGCACATTTATTTGGTCTATGTGTGTGTATATATATAGGTGTGCGTTTGTATATCGCATATAGGATACACCCACGCATGCGTATGAATCGTGCTGTCATGCATGTACGTTGCATGTGTACACGTGTTCTACACATGCAGTGTTGTATGTGGTATCTCTGTCTGGCTATTCACACATATGGCCATGGCCATTGACCAAATCGCACATGTTTTCAATATCGTCGACCCACGTGTGTGTGTATACATGTGTATATGTGTGTATGTATACAAATAGTTGTCACGCGTCAGAATCTAGTTTTCGATGTACATGTAGACACACATGTGTGCCATAAGTATACACACGCTTATAATGCGGAACGCGTGAGAAATGGCGAGGTCACACAGAAAAGGGATATATGTCGGGAGGACAGGACGAGGAAAGGGGGAGTGCCCGAAAGGGGAGGGATAGGGGGCCCACCACCCTCTTCTATGTTTCATTGCACTAACACGTGGCAAGTTATAATACATGCTCGGTGATGGGCGTCATCTGGCCATACCGTTTCGGTAACGCTGAATGATGATATGTGTGTAGCTTATGTTCGGTTCGGACGTGCGCCACCAATGGGGGCGCAAAGTACTAGTTTGTCTTCCTTCGCTAATAAGGGTGCTTTGCCGGGGCAATTTGGTGTTGTTCCCTTGGCAGGCCGGCCTATCCGAGCAGCGGGGTACCCCCCGGCGCGCACGCGCCCGTGCACGCGGTGTCCGCGTCCTCGGTGCCCGCGTCTTCGGGGTCCGTGTCCTCCCACGGCCCGGCCTGCCTCGTGCCAATGTGGAGCGACGAAGAGTACGCGTGCAAGGACCGAGGGTTTCAATCGAGGCGTTCCAAACAGGGCATCGCCTTCGAGGACCGAATTCGTTGGGAAGGCGGCGGGAGGTTGGTGGAAGCTGGCGACAGTAAAACGAGGATGCTTCCGCCGGTGGGAACCGGCGTAAGGCCCGCTGAAGCTGGCGGAAGTAAAGTTAGTTTCCCAAGAGACGGCAACAGTTGTCGTTCAGGGTTTCGGAACCCGCCAGCCAGAGACCTTTCTTGTTTTTCTTGGTGGCGAGAACCGGCGCAACCCCCGGGGGGGGGAAGGGGGGAGGGGGACGGCCACACCGCGATTCGCGGCGGCGCCGTCTGGGAGTGCGCCGTCGGGGGATCCCTCAGAGTGCAGTCTCAGACGGCGCCGGCGCGAATCGTGGCGTGACCAGGGGGTGGCAAGGGTTAAGTCGGGCCTGTCCCCCTACAGGGGGATTTTCGACGAAAAACAAAAAATACCCCCAAAATACCCCCAAAAGGCCAAAAATACTCAAAAAATAGTCCCCAGACTATTTTTGGAGCATTTTTTGATTATTTTTGGGGTATTTCTTGTTTTTCGTGGAAAATCCCCCTGTACGGGGTCACGCCCGGCTTAAAGCAAGGGGAGGGTGCGGGGCGGGTCAGGGGCGTTGTCGCGAACGCTTTGGAGTGGGCTTCTGTTGTCCGCGGGCGGCCTGTGACCGTGCACCGTACCGCGCTGGCGTCTCCCAAGGCGTCGTCGTTTTTCGTTCCAGGAAAACAGTCAACGCGCCTTGTAAGGACCCGCGCCTTCATCCAGGGTACCCTTGTGTCCTTGCCTCTGAGGCTCGTCCTCGCCATTATCACTGGTCGCCAGCCGCCCTAAAAAAACCCAACTTCGGCCTCCAAGGGCCTTGCGTCCTTATCACCCGTCCTTAATATACGTTTTGACTGTAGTATGCTGCATGGTTTGTTGTCAGCTTTCGGCCCTCGGAGCCGAAAAACCAGGCACCGCACCGCGCTGAAGCAGGGCCTGCACGGAGTCCAGACACGAGGCGGTGCACGGGCGCCGCCGTTCTCGTATACTGACGCGTCGCGTGCCCAGATCTCCAGCGGACGTTTTTTTCTTCGGTGGTCTCTGTCCACCAGCCTCGAACTTATCCCTATCCCTGAGATTGACACGCCAAAAGGCGATGACAACCTTAGGGATGCATCCTCAGAAACTGAGGGAATCCCTAAGATCGCCATCGTGATGAGGCGATGCCGAACATATGGATAGGGATATGTTACAGGCTGGTAATTTGTCGGGTCCCAGGGCCATCAAACTGGTTCCAGGACGAAAAACAATCTCCGGGCAAGCGGTCGGGACTTTGGAGCCGCGGATTGGAAAAAGCACACATCGGCGGATACCGGGGGTTCGAAGAAGATGCTTGGCGCTTCGCATATCCCCGCCGGCCCATCCAGCACCGATCCTCAGGGAGTCGTCTTGACGAGGGGCACTTCTCCTCGCACACTTCTCCGTGTCATATCATTTGTTCAGGTTGATGTGTGCAGCCTGCAAGGATCGAATAACAAAACTGCCTCAGCGCACCGTCTCGGCGGTCCGCACGGTTTGGTCGGCGGCGGGCCCGACCTGGCGCGCGGGAGCGCGCCAGGGAGAATCCAGCGTCCCGCGCCGACCCCGGACAGGGCCCGACCTCAGCTGTGTGCTGAACGAGTTCGTGGACCGTTTTCGTTTTGATGCCGCTCTGCAGCGGGGGCGGACCGAAGGCACAGCGAGGGCGATCCCCGACCCCGGAGATCAACCCAGACCTCCGACAGTCTACGCTCTTGCCGTCCTGCTGTTCGTCTGAAGGGGGGGGAGGAGGAGGAGGAGGAGGAGGAGGAGGAGGAGGAGGAGGAGGAGGAGGAGGAGGAGGAGGAGGACAGCGAGGAGGATGAGGAGGAGGACAGCGAGGAGGAGGAGGAGGAGGAGGAGGAGGAGGAGGAGGAGGAGGAGGAAGTCAGCAGCCGTGGTGTCGCCGCCCCTCGTGGCGGCGGGAAACGCGTGCATGGCCCGGGTTTCGCGATCCGGGCTCCTCGGCCGCAGCCCCACGGCTGCGGGGGGGCGGCTCTGTGCAGATGATCCGCGCGGAGCGCATCCAACGCATGCATGGGATCGCGTCGCGGTCTCCAGACCGCGAGGGCATGGGCAGTGAGCAGGGGGGGGGAGTCGAGGATCGAAGAGGTAGTGTTTTTTTGTTTTGGGGGGGGGGGCGTTTCTGGTTGGTCTGGAGAGGGCGTGGTCTGGGGGGGTCCTGTGGGGTCCTCCCTTCGCTCCTCCTTAGGAGGAGGTAGCCCCCCCCCCCCCTCATGCTGACCCACCTGTGGTGCTGCCCGCAAGGAGCACGTGGACTTCGAGAGGAGCTCGTTCATGGACTCGCTCTATGTGGAAGCCCCAGAAGACGGCACGAGCACGAACTTTCGGGGGCATGGTCGGATGTCCTGGGCTTGCGCCGTGTCTCCCTCCCACCACCTCATGGTGCGCGGGGAGCAGAGAGGCTGTCCGAGGGCCGAGCCAAGAGGTCCGCGCAGCCCTCCGAGAGGCTTCGTGCTCATGGCGTTCTCTGCTCTTCCGGCATCGCAGACGGATCGAGATGCCAGACGGCACGAGGTGCACCGTGACGCCGCCAGGGAAGTGGTCGTTCTGGATGGCCTCCGAAGTGGCCGAGATGATGTGCAAGGCGGGCGTGTGGGTCGACGGCAAGGGCAAGCCCGTCCTCGAGATCGAGATGAAGACGGCGCAGTGGTTTCTCATCGCCTCGGCGGTCACTGCCTGTGTCCTCGCATACCTGCTTTACAAGATGTTCTACGACACGGAGTCCTCGTGGTACACGTGGAGGCTCGGCATCGTCTCACGCATTCCCATGCCCACTGGGCCAGGGGGTATCTCAGCCCCACCAGCCCGCCCTCCCAGGTGGGCAAAGGCACCGCGGAACCCGCAGGAACAGGCACGTATCCCCCCCCACCAAGATTGAGAAGTCGGCCCGTGGGGCCAAGGCCACACCACTGGGATGGGGATAGTCTGAACGATGCTCCAAGGCAGGATCAGGCGGTGAAGTGGGGCTTCGCTACAGCCCCTCCCCCGCCGGCCGAGGATGCGGACGGCGCGGCCAGCGCGTCGGGCCCGCAGGCGGGCATCAACATCAGCATCTCGAACGCGAGCGGCAGCCAACCCGCGCCGGAGGCGAAGCCTCAGTAGGCTAGCGAGCCGCTGCGGCACGCGCGCGCTCTGGCGGCCCGACTTCCCGACCAGGGTCAGCTGCAGCGCAAGACAAGCTGAGCTATCTGCGCACGCCAGGTTACGGTGGGGGCGTTCGTACCCTGGAGGGTTCCTGATTTGTCGAGGGCGGCGGTGATTTCCATGGCCAATCCACGATTGGCTTTCCACTGGCTTCCAGACCCTGGATACCTTATCGAAGGTTTTCTTATCCAATGACATCACCGTATATGGCCCAGAATTTTCGGATAGCGTGTCTCGCCGCTGGTTCTAGCCCACCACGCTTCGGAGCGACACGCTGTCGACTTCCCATTCCCCCAGCGTCCTCATCCCGAGCCTTTCCGAGCCTCCCGCCCCGCGGAGCGAAGCGACACGCTATCCACTCGCAAGGCATGGCGCGTCGCCGGGGCTGCCTTGGTGACACGCGATGCAAAAGTTCCTGACCGTATCCGTACCCACTGCGACATAACCGAACGCCCGCGATAATAATTCATACCCCCCATTTACCCCTGAGTGTTGGTTACCCCGGGCCAAGACAAAATTGGTCGGGGGAGGGGGGCGGCGAGGTCGAACTTCATCATCGCCAGTCTACGGATCGAAACTGCCATCATCTTTTGTTGAGTACAGTCAGCCCGCATAGTAAGGATGGGCATCCTTCCCCAGGGTACCCTTGCATCCTTGCCTCCTCGGTCCATCCTTCGCCATTTTCCTTGGCCGCGCTCCGCTCGGAGAGCTTCGAAATGGGCGTCCAAGGCCCTTGCATCATCATCGCGAATCCTTTTAATACGGGCCGACTGGTAGCAATAGTATCACGAACATGTTGCCAGGCTATGGGGTCCTCACTGTTTCAGCTTTCGCACGTCACGACCGTGTAGCAGGGCCGTAGGATTCTGACAATTTTCAGCTTTCCCATGTCACGAACGTGTGGCAGGGTTGTGGGGTTCTCATTGCTTCAGCTTTCTCAAGTCACGAACGTGTGGCAGGGCCATTGGATTCTCACAGTTGCAGCTTGCCCAAAGCACGAACCAGTGGCACGGCCGTGGGGTTCTCACCACTTCAGCTTTCCCAGGCCACGAACATGTGGAAGGGCTGTGGGATTCTCACCGTTTCGGCTGTTCCACGTCGCGAACGTGTGGCAGGGCCATGGGACTCTCACCATGACGGCTTTTCAACGCCACGAACGTGTGGCAGGGCCATGGGATTCTCACTTTTTCAGCTCCACGCAGCATGGACGTGCGGCTCCTTCCCCTCCTCCCCCTCTTCCCTCCCCGCAGCCCCATCACCCACCCACCCCCGGCAACTGTTCGAGGCCCGAGCTTTTCCGAACCGCCACAGCAACCACCGACCGCAGCGTTCCCGAGACGCTCCGCCCCATCGAGCATGACGCTCTCCAAGGACCAGGTCTGAACAGGCGCCGCTCGAGGCCCCTAATAATGAAGTGTGTAAGCTCCTCGCCAAGCAGTGCAGGCAGAACGAGGTCCTCATCAACTCGATGGACCGCCTCGCCGAACAAGCCGGCATCGCCGAGATGCGCCAGTGCCAGACGAGCGGCAGAGCAACGGACGTTTCGAGGGTGACGGGCAGCTTCCTCCACGGCACGAGCGCCCGGTGGTTCAAGAACGTCCATAAACACCATCGTAGACATGGTGTACCACAAGAGCAAAGTTGAGGCCATCGGGTACGCGGGTATCTTCCCCGAAAACGACGAGCGCCGATGCGAGACGGCGTGCGCCGTCTCCTCGGCGACGCACGCCGAGAAGTCCGAGGTCGCGTTCGACGCCTTGATGGCGACGGCCAGGGCAATCCTTCAAACTGCTGCCGAGTTTCTGTTCCGCGCTGTTCGAGAGCGCCAAGCAGAAGGACATCGGTCTCGGCGCCGAGAGCGTGGCCGAGTTGAGCTGCGGGAGTTGCTTCGAGCGCATCAAGGCCACGTTGGGCGAGCTCCCCGCTGGCCTCCAGGTGCGCCGCGAGGCGCCCCCCTCTGGGACAAGCGCTTCGCGCCCGCGCGGGCAAGCTTCCCGGGCGAGGTGGCCGAGGAGGCGGGCGTTCGAGCCCGTCGACAATCCGCCCCGGGTCGACGAGCATTCCGACTGAGCCGATGAGAATGTGGCGTTCCCGAGGGACGCGCGCGCGGCGGCCGCCGATGTGCTCTCCAGGCGGTGCCGGGCCATCGAGGCCGTCGGCGGCGCCTCTTTCGAGCGCTCCGAGGGCGCCCCCCACGCTGGGCGCGCCGAGCGCAGCCGGTGGGCGGAGAAGACGCGCCAGGAGGAGGACGTGAGCTTCCTCGACGCCACGTCGAGAACCGTTTCCCCAAACGCGACGCCGTCTTGATCGAGCGCGCCGCCCTGCCCGAGCGCCGTGCGGCCGAAGGCGTGGCGGCCGAGGGGTGTGGCCGATGGGGGGGGGGCTCGTCGAACTGTCGAGACGCGCGTTTTCGCCGAGCGTCTCGCGCTTGCCCGCTTTCCCGAGGGTCCGTTAAGCCGAGCGCCTCGGACCCGCGGGCGTCTCGAACCGACCGATCTTTCCAAGTAGCCGAGCATTTCGAACCATTCGATTTGTTGCCTACCCTTGCGTTGGGAATGCGACGAGCGCCTCGAGCCCGCGAGCAAATGCAGCGACCTGCCTTCGCCGAAAACATAATCGACCCACGAAGCTGGGAAGGAGTTTAGAAACGCACAGCGTGGCTCCGCTTTCAAGACGCCTCATTGGGCGATTCTGACCGAACCGATCTGGATCTTAAGCCCGAGCTGTTGGAACGCATGGCTGGCCCAGACTTGGCTGCCGTCGAAGCTTGCAAGGCGCTCAATCAGCTCGAGCTTGAGACCCGATTCCGGTCCGACGCGGGGCGATACGACGCGGGGCGCAGGGCGCATGGGCGCGCCGCGGAATGTGCCATTGGCGCACCCGGCAGGGGACGTGTGGGGGGACGCGGCAACGGACGCGCCGCTGAACGGGCATGGAAAACGCTAAGGGACCAACCGGGGATTGCAGCAGAGGACGAACCAAAGGACGGGTCGAGGGGGAGGGGCGTGCGGCGTCTCGCACTGGGGCGTTCAGATCCCATCTGTTTTTCACGCTTGTCCCGCTTTGGGGCGTGAGGGAACACAAGTGTTTTCGCGTGTCCAGGCCACCCACGTACGGACATTTAACGTGTGGTCGTGAAAACGCAGCTCGGGGCAGCCATGTACTATGCCGCCGTGGGGGGCCAGGAAACGTAAAAACCATTGTTCCAACTCGGGACATCCACGCTCGAACCACACCTGGGTGGCCTGGAGACGTAAAAGCACGTGGTTCCAGCTTGGGGCAGCCATGTTAGTTATTCCCTTGGGTGGCCAGGACAAATGTGGTTCCAGCCCGTGACCTTCATGTTCGATATCCACCCGGGTGGCTTGGGCACGCGAAATCATATGTCTCCAGCGCGAAGCCTTCGTGTTAGATGCCCCACTGGGCGGTCTGGACACGTGAAAACACATGGTTCCATCTAGGGGCAACCATGTTCGAGACCCCTTTTTTTTCTGGGCGTCTTGGGCACGTGAACGCAAGCATTTCGCCTTCGACATTCGCTCAATGCCGCCTCCAGGGGAGGAACAACGTAGAGGACAAAACAAACGTTTCGCTCGAGACATCCGTTACAATTTCTGCAAAACAAGCGTTCCACTCGATACATCAACAAACAACGAACTTGATCAGTTCACCATGTGGTGATGTATCGAAAATATTTTACCATTGTTATTGTTATTCGTTTCATTACTATTAACCGTATTAGTAGTATCGTTCGTATTAGTACAGTTGATGTCTTTATAACAATAATAATCGTATTACTAAAAGTACGAATGCAACTTGCAGTTAGCATTGGTATTACCATTACTATTCTCATTCGCATTCGTATTCGTAGTATTATTATTATCATTATTATTATTAGTAGTAGTATTAGTATTATGATTATCATTCTTATCAACTCAAGCAAAACATGTCGCCTGGGATTTCCCCCCATTTCAAGTCCGACCGCGGGCCCTCCTCGACAATTCCACTGGATGTCTCGGGGTTTGGCACTGGGGGGCAGGTTTATCATTCTGAATGAGAGTTCTCAGCGCACGCCCTTTCCAGGAACAAAAGCATCGGGTGCACCATCGTCGAGGCTCGATCCTCGATCGCGCTTCCATCACGCACCCCCTTCAGATTGTCCGTCCCATATCTCTTCTCGCCATCCAGGTTTTTTTTTCCACGTCGCAGCAGGGATATGGAGAACGTCTAAGACCTCCCTTGGTGCGGCTTACTATGCCACCTTCGAGTCTGGACCCCTCCCCCAGGGCCGACCCTGCTTCTCAGGCCGTCTCTCGACCCCAGGCCTCCCAGACGGGGCCTTGGCAGGCGGGGTCGGAGGATCGCACCGCATCGCCGATGCATCGGCTATGCGGCTCGATGTGAAACCAGATCTTCTCCACGCTGGCCTCGCCGATGCATCGCCGACGTCGCCGATGCATCGGCGATGCATTGGCGATGCGGCGCGATCCCCCGACCCCATCTATTCGGATCCGATTTTGAGAAGCCTTTATCGGCGGTCGCGCAGCCCGCTGAGGGTCAAGGAGGCCGAAAACGGCCAAGAGCTTCCCGTCCTACTTTTTTCCACGACGAGAGGAGGTCTCCACGCCTTGCAGATGGGGTCGGAGTGGACCGAGTCGGACTAGTTGGGTCAGGCTCCTCAGCCCTGCACTAAAGATCCAAATCAACGGCAGATCCTTCATCCTAGCTTCATCTCTTGCTGGGATGAGGGCGATGTGGACGATTACTACGAGGAGGGGGAGAAGGAAGAGGAGGTGGAGGAGGAGGGCGGAGGAGGAGGAGGGCAGAGCTCCATTATTGCCCTCCTCAGCGCCGCCATCCTCTTGTAATGCGCCTGCGGCTCCCTGATATCATACATTATGTACCACAAAGCTGACGCTCGGCTGATATGAAGGAAGAAGATGGGGCGAGTGACCGCACTCTCGAGCGAATCGTGGAATCGTTGCCATGCCGTCCCTGCACCTGCATGTCGCTATTGTGAAGGCCTGACGGCTGGTGCCGCCGACCCTGAAAGACATCGACGACCAGGAGGGGGAGAAGGTGGAGAAGGAGAACCAGGAGGGGGCATTCTCCGGCACCTCCCTCGCGCCGCGCGTACTCTGCAACGATGACGGGACACCGAGGACATTCATCTCCAAGCGGAAGCGCGGCTGGCCGCGGCAGCAATGGGGCCAATAAGTACAATAAGTACATAAAGTGACACTTTGCATGTAGGTTTCCCTCCGCGCCTTCCCCCTCTCCCCCCCTGCCTCCTCCAAGCGTGCTGAAGCGACATTTTTCCGCGGCGCATCCCATGCATGTTTCTTTCTTACGAAGAGTAGCCACCCGCACTCTCTTCTGCTTGCGCGTCCTGCCGGATGCTTGGTTCCCTTGCTGCTTTTTCTTCGACCCGCCTCTCCACCTGTGCTGCTATGGGGTGCTTTGCCGGGGGTGCGGTCGGGAACTTTGGATAGCGTGTCGTTCCGCCGATTCTGGCCCACCACGCTTCGCCGCGACGCGCTATCCGCTATCCACTTCCACTTCCCCGTCCCCAGGCGTCCACGTCCCCAGGTTTTCCCGGCCTCCCGCCCCGCGGGGCGGAGCGACAAGTTATCCGTTCGCAAGGCAGATCGTGTCGCCGGGGCCGCCGCCGAGACGCGCGATGCAAAAGCTCCTGACCCGTCTTGGACGCCTTTTGGGCCCATCTTGGGCGTCTTGGAGCGATCTACGGAGCATTCGACGTACGTTTCGTAGATCCGACGGAAAGGTCAATTTCGGGGTAAGGCGATTCTGCAATCTATCATTGGGCGTCTCGGGGCCCTATTGGACCGTCATGGCGGCCTCTTGGAGCCCTCTTGGCCTGTCTTGGGACCCTCTTGGGGCCCTCTTGGGCCCGAAAAAGTGATGCGGGGAGACGCACCGGAGCCTTTTGAACCGCGCCAAGCCCCGCCGAATGTTGGAAATTGGGGTCCATGCCCCCAATTGACCCATTCGAATTGAGGAGTGAAGCTCAGGGGATTGGGCAAGGGACCTGAGGACACACCTACTCCGTGCCCAGCGGCACGCTGGCGGATTTTTTCGGCTCGTTTGGGGTGCGTTTCCTAAGCAGTTTGAAGTCGGAGGATCTGCCTTACCCTCTTCCTCTCCCCTCCTCCTCCTCCTCCTCCTCCTCCTCCTCCTCCTCCTCCTCCTCCTCCTCCTCCTACTCCCTCCCTCCTCCTCCCTCCTCTCCTCCTCCTCCTCCTCCTACTCCTCCTCCTCCTCCTCCTCCCCTCCTCCTCCTCCTCCTCCTCCTCCCTACCTCCTCCTCCTCCTCCTCCCCTCCTCCCCCCCCTCCTCCTCCTCCTCCTCCTCCTCCTCCTCCTCCTCCTCCTCCTCCTCCTCACTCCTCTCCTCCTCCTCCTCCTCCTCTCCTCCTCCTCCACCTCCACCTCCACATCCACCTCCTCCTCCTCCTCCTCCTTCTCCTTCTCCTCCTCCTCCTCCTCCTCCTCTTCCTCCTCCTCCTCCTCCTCCTCCCGGGGGGAGGAGGAGCACTATCAGGCGAGGGAGACGGACCCAAAGGGCAGAGCGAGGCAGGGAGGACACCCTGAGGCGGAGGGGAGCCCCGCGCCAGCAGCGCCCACGAGCAGCGGGAGGGGGGACTAGAAGCAGCCTCACAGTCTCTAGGCCTCCTAGATGGGGTCGGAGTAGGTGGGTCGGAGGATCGCGCCGCATCGGCGATGCGGCTCGATGCGGAGCCCCATTTGCTTCACGCCGACGTATCCGATGCATCGCCCACGTCGACGAGGCATCGCTGGTGCATCGCCGATGCATCGCCGATGCATCACCGATGTATCGCCTGTGTGTCGGCGATGCGGCGCGATCCTCCGACCCCGTCTACTCCGACCCCGTCTGGGAGGCCTCTACAGTCCTGGGTCGGAAAGTCAACCAGCGCACGTCAGAAGCCAGGCGAAGGCTGGCAAACCCGTGGCTGCTAAAGCGGAGTTCCGGGAAATTGCTTTGTTCTTCTGGGAAGCAGCCTGATTGTTATTTAGTTAGTGCGTTGGTTTCTATTCTGGGAATTTGTTTTTCTCTTCCTGGAATACCGTTTTAGCAGCCACGGATTTGCCAGCTTTCGCCCAGCTTCCGAGCACGGCGGTGTATTGGCGATGTGGCGCGATCCTACGACCCCGCCTACTCCGACCCTATCTGGGAGGCCTCTACAGTCCTGGGTCGGACAGTCAGCCAGCGCACGGCGGGTCCAGGAGGAGGAGGAGGAGGAGGAGGAGGAGGAGGAGGAGGAGAGGACAGGAGGAGGAGGAGGAGGAGGAGGAGGAGGAGGAGGAGGAGGAGGAGGAGGGGGAGGAGGGGGAGGAGGGGAGGAGGAGGAGGAGGAGGAGGAGGAGGAGGAGGAGGAGGAGGAGGAGGATCAGGGTGGAGGTGGGCTGCGAGCTTCAGCGTGCGCGTGGGCCTGGCGCCTCCCCTCAGCCCTGCGGCCATGGCGGCAGTGCTCGGCGGCGTGCTCGACACCGTGCGCGGCGCCCTCGGCATGGCGCCTGCCTCGTGCCCCGCCGGGCCCCGCCGAAGCCCAACTCTTCGGGAGCCCTAATGCTCTTCGTGCTTGTTGGGTGTTCGCGTGCATCCTGGGGAGGATACCCTTTGATGTTCTCTGTGTGCTTTGGCCAGCTGAGGGCCTTGTGCTCTTGAAGGATGTTATTCTGTTCGTGGCCCGGCCGTAAGAGGGCAGAGGAGGGAGGACAGCAAGCAGGAGGCACGATCGAGGCTCTCGGGCGTGCTCGGAGAGGCTGTGTCGTCACGCAATTGCGTGGGTGCCCCGGGGTTTCGCCCGGTGCCTAGCCTCGGGAGCCTTGAGACGGGGTCAATGCAAACGGGGGTCAGCCAGAGCGCCCGACCTTGCAGGATCCTGCAGGGCCAGGGTCGCATTGACCCGGGTTTGGGTGCAAGATCCTGCAGAATTTTGCGGGATCCTTCGCCTTGGCCCTGGCTTGCATGCAGGACCTTGCGGGATCTTGCGGGATTCTGCAGGGCCTGACTGACCCGGGCCTGCATCGACCCGGGCTAGAAGATCCCCGATCTCTGGCCCGAGCCCTCGGGGGCAACGCTGCGGATGGATGGGCTCGGGGGGGGGGGGGGGATGCGGCACGGGAATGACCACAGCCTCTGTTTCTTGTCTGCGCCGCCTTCCAGCCGTCCGAAAAAGAAGCAGTGGTTGTGGTCATCTCCCTGGTGCCAAGCTCAACGAAAACGACCACAGCCACTGCTCTGTTCCTGCGGGCTGGAAGGCGGCGACAAAAGAAAAGCGGTGGCTGTGGTCGTTGTCACGCCCCGTAGGGGACGAAAAGGCTTCGAGATTCGAGGTTCTCGGGACTGATGAGGAGGCTGATGATGATGATGCTGCTGCTGATGCTGCTGATGATGATGATGCTGATGCTGATGCTGATGCTGCTGATGATGATGATGCTGATGATGATGATGCTCATGATGATGCTGATGATGATGCTGATGCTGATGCTGATGCTGATGCTGATGATATTGATGATGATGATGATGATGAGGATGAGGATGAGGATGATGATGAGGATGAGGATGAGGATGAGGATGAGGATGATGATGATGATGATGATGATGATGATGATGATGATGATGATGATGATGATGATGATGATGATGATGATTATGATGATGATGATGATGATGCTGCTGCTGCTGCTGCTGATGATGATGATGATGATGATGATGATGATGATGATGATGAGCGCCTTCGTCGGTCCTCAGCGGCTCTGCAGCCTCGGGGTGCTCTCTCGGGCGGCTGCGCCCCGCCGGGCGAGGGCGCTCCTCCGGGCGTGCGCCTCGCCCCGGCCGGCCGCCGGAGGCCCGAGCTATACGACTGGAAACCCACCAAGGGGGGACGGAGGAGGAAGAGGAGGAGGAGGAGGAGGATGAGGAGGAGGAGGAGGAGGAGGAGGAGGAGGAGGAGGAGGAGGAGGAGGGGGAAGAGAGAGGAGGAGGAGAGGAGGAGGAGAGGAGGAGGAGGAGGAGGAGGAGAGAGGAGGAGAGGAGGAGGGGAGGAGGAGGAGGAGGAGGAGAGGAGGAGGAGGAGGAGGAGAGGAGGAGGAGGAGGGGGAGGAGGAGGAGGAGGAGGAGGAGAGGAGGAGGAGGAGGAGGAGGAGGGAGGAGGAGGAGGAGGAGGAGGAGGAGGGGGGAGGAGGAGGAGAGGAGGAGGAGGAGGAGGAGGAGGAGGAGGAGAGGAGGAGGAGGAGGGGAAGAGGAGGAGGAGGAGGAGGAGGAGGAGGAGGAGGAGGATGCACCGACCCCCATCGCCCATGCAGCGCCGACAGGGGCCCGATGTCAGGCGATCGCACACAGGGGACAGGCTCAGGGGGGATGCACCGATCCCAGTGGCCCATGGAGCGCCGACAGGGGCCCGATGTCAGGCGATCGCAAGCCTGGATCACGGGGGCGTGGATTGGCGACGGGTCCCGTTGCCATGGGGGACTGCGGATTTCCGCCGCTGAGCGAGGCGGCACCGGCCGCATTTGGGGGAGGGCACCTCCCCCGATCCATAGATTTGGCGACCGCGCGCCTACTCCATGGATCGCTGATCCATGTCTGCGCGCCCCCGACGATAGCCCCACCCCGCCCAGGAGCGTGCAATCCGCCATCGGAGGGCTCTCGCCGATCTCTCGCCGATCTATCGCCGGTTCCAGCTCGACGTGGGCCCCCATGAGTTGGTCCCCACCTTACCATTAAGTCGGGCCTGTCCCTCTACAGGGGGAATCTTCAATAGTAATAAAGGAATATTGTGGGGACGATTTTTCGTCTATGTTTGATTAGTTTTGAGCATTTTTTGTTTATTTGTATTTTTCCTGAAAGCCGCCTGTAGGGGGGACACGCCCGACTTAACCTTCACATTGCCCTTCAGGCCCGAGTCCGATGGGGAGGCAAAGTCGCAGACCTTTCCTGAGGCCCATCACGGAGGCGGCCACCCCCACTTCTTCTCGTCGCGAAGAAACCACGACAAGAGGTTTTCGGACGTTTTTCGCCTCCAGGGGCCCTCGCCGAGTCCTGGGGCCGGGGAAGGTGTCCAGACCTCTGGGGGCCGACGTTGTGAACAAAGTCGCGACGCCGGAATTCTGGGTCCATCTCGGGGGCGGCCAAGAGGAGGGGGGTTTCGGGGGCGAGGCCAGCTGGAAAACGAGAAGAGGCAGGCCTTCTCAGAAGGCGGCGGGGCTCCTCAGAAGCCCTCGCGCCTCCTCCTCCTCCTCCTCCTCCTCCTCCACCTCCTCCTCATGAGGGGCCGCCGCTATCTGCGGAGGAGCCCTGGGCAGATTCTCAGAGAAAGCTTCGCAGAGGGCCCGAGAGCTTCTGAGAGGCCCCGCCACCTTCTGATAAGGTCCGCCCCCTCTCGCTTCCCCTTCTCCTCCTCCTCCTCCCCCTCCTCGTCGTCCACCTCCTCGTCGTCCTCCTCCTCCTCGTCTTCCTCCTCCTCGTCGTCCTCCTCCTCCTCCTCCTCCTCCTCCTCCTCCTCCTCCTCTCTCTCCCCTCCTCGTCCTCCTCCTCCTCCTCCTCCTCCTCCTCCTCCTCCTCCTCCTCCCCCTCCTTCTCCTCCTCCTCCTTCTTCTCCTCCACGAGGTCTCCCCGGATTGCGCCTGCGACCTCCTTTGCCTTTCAGGGCGTCCCCCGGGTGCCCCCCCCTGGGTCCGCATACGAGCCACTATTTTTGCGCCCCCCCTCCAGTCCGCCCCCGGCCAGCTCCTCGAGCTGCGTCCAGCAGTGGCCACGGGGACCATCCGGGAGGCCCAGGAAGAAGGGCGCAAAGCGTCGAAATGCAAGGGGATGGCGGCGATGAGCCCACTGAAGGTATTCGCTTTTCTTTCAGCGCGCTCACTGCCGCCATGCTGTTGCACGCGTACGCATGCTGTAGCCTTGCGTTGCTTGACTTTTGCAAGAGATGCCAACACCCTCGAGGTACCATGTGGTCGAGGGCCCGCAGGGCAAGCAGTTCGTCTGGGACCACGGGCGCCTCGGCAACGCGGTGGACTCGGAGTTCGTCCCCGAAGGGGAGCGGAACGGGGACGAGCTCGAGGCTCGAAGAAGAGAGCACGGCGCCAGCGTCAATTCCCGGAGGTCCGCGCGGAGCTCTCGGGATCGGCGGGGGGCACCCTGGCGGCGCGTCCCTCCGGCGCCGGGCTCCGCGCGCCCGGGAGGGGCCCAGCGCGGATCCGAGGAGTCCGCGCGGACCTCCGAGAGGATACAGTGAAAACCCGTGCCAAGAGGCACCCCGCTTGCCTCCAGGGTGCCCTGGATTTCTTGGGTTTCGATGGTTTTGCCATGGAAGGCGCGACGCTCCCGCACCAAAAATCAGTTGGCGTCCTGGGGTCTCAGGGTTGGGTTTCTTGTGGAAGGTTTCCTGTGGTCAAGCTCCTATTGTATGCTTGTGCAGCCTCTGGCTCACCTGGAGGCCCTGGCGGTGCCGCCCATGGAGCTCACCGCCACGGTCCCCGACAAGCACGAGGAGGGCGAGAAGGCCCAGAGTCAACCCACAACCCACAAAACAAACGACACCACCCCACCTACGCCCTCCATGTTGCGCCACGGTCCATCGGGGGCCGTAGCGTATACCACCCAAAAGCCCACGCCAGATTTGCTGGTATGCGCTGAGCACCGTGGGGCCGCAGGTAGGGTGATGTCGTTTGTTTCCTGGTCCACAGAGGGATGGAGACGGACCGACACAGGCACCCTTCGCCCTTCTTGCGCCCTTCTGGGCTTCGGGGGGGGGGGCCCGTCGCGCAGGCCGGATCCGCATCGGGGTCTTGGTTAGAGCAGGACCCTGAGAAAGATCTGCATGCAGAGGAGGAAGAGGAGGAGGAAGAAGAGAAGGAGGAGGAGGACAAGTATAAACCTAAGACGCATTAACGATCTTGGATTGAACCCTTCATCCAAGTACCCTCTTCATAGGCCCTTGCAATAATTTATTTTCATTGCGGGCACTGTCGCATTGAAAGACAACCGTCTGAGAATCCTCAATCGCGCCACAGCACCATTCCTGGAACCTCAGCGCCGTGAATCAACGTGGCTGTTGCGCGTTGACAATCCGAGACTGAGCTAGCGCCAGTCCTGGAACGTCAACGCCGCGAATCAAGTGGTGCGTCCTGACAATTTTAAGTCGTGCCAGAGTGCCATTCCCAGGAATTTTACCCTGGCCCTTGAAACTGATGCAAACTTTAATCGAATGCGTGCGGCACTGGGGCGAGGTCTCATATTGAAAGCCACCCGCGCTTGATCCTTGAAAATGTGTAAGATTTTAGCACGAATGTGCACGGCGCGAAGGCGAAGCCACATTCTGAAGACCACCCGCCCTCCATCCTGGAGACGATTGCAAACTTTCGAGCCAAATGTGTGCGGGCTAAGAAGAGAGCCACAGTTTGAAAATGACTCGCCATCAACCTTTGCAGCTGTTCAGACGAATGTGCGCGAGCTAAGGAGAGAGCCACGTTTTGATAAGGACCCGCCCCCCATCTTGGAAGCTGCTGCAAACTGTTAAGACGAATGTGCGCGCTATGGCGAGAGCATCATAAGCGGTGGCGAGGTCCCATGGGAAAAGTCCAGCCCGCCCTACTGACACGTCTGAGGGTGCGACAGGGAGGAATCATTGGTAAGGCAAACGGATGGATGGTGATGATGATGTTGATGCTGATGATGTTGATGATGATGATGATGAGGATGATTGTGGTGGTGGTGATCATGATCAGGATGATGCCGATGATGATGTTGGTGGTGATGATGATGACGATGACGATGAACATGGTGATAACGATGGTGATGCTGATGCTGGTTATGATGACGATGGTGATGACGATGTGGTGCTGATGATGATGATGCTGATACAGATGATGATTACGATGATGACGACGATGCTGACGATGATGATGATGCTGATGATGATAATGATGAAAATGATGATGATGATGATGATGATGATGATGATGATGATGATGATGATGATGATGATGATGACGATGATTATCGTGCTGATGATGCTGCTGATGATGCTTATGATGATGCTGATGATGATGCTGATGATGCTGATGGTGATGCTGATGATGCTGATGATGGTGATGAGGAGGAGGAAACTTCTGGCGTCAAGGCTATCACGGATGCAGCAATGACGGTTGTCGTATCATGGTCGGAACGCACGCATTGCTGTAAACAGATCGACCCATAAGGGGGCCGTTCCGAGAGGAGACCCTAGGGAGCTGCGTCTCACACAGCGGCTGGATAAGCAGCTGCAGGCGGATATATCTGCACGAAATCAGCGAGGACCAGCACAGCAAGCATAATCGCTTGCAGTCGGGGAGCAGGAGGATGGGAGGCGGGAGGGAGGGAGGGAGGACGAGGGCGGGAGGAGGAGAAGGGGCCAGGGGAGCAGCGGCATCGGTTTCCCCCCCCCCCGAAGGTGACAATCGCGGGGCCTCACGGCCCCATGGAGGTGGTGCCGCCCAAGGGCGCGAAGCCGGGCTCGCAGTTCACCTTCCGCCTCACCCCGATGTACGAGTTCCGTGTCGAGGTGCCCCCAGGCGCGTGTTGCATTGCTGCGTTGGGCGAGGAGATGGAGAAGGAGCAGGAGGTCGAGGAGGAGGAGGAGGAGGAGGACCACGATGTCGACGTTGACGACGCCGCCGCCGACGACGACACTGACGAGGGGGAGAGCGGGGACGAGGGGGAGGAGTGGGAGGATCAGGACGAGGAGGAGGGAGGATGGATGAGGGAGAAGGCCACCCAAGGGGTAACGCCAACGTCCTGGCTACTGCACAGACTCCGCCCTGGCCAAAGACACGCATGCTGGCATCACATCCTCCTCGTAGCATTTGCAGGTTAACATGTTTGCATAAAGGACGCCCACGGGCAGTACACATACATGATAGGTATTGGTGTAACCCTCTCGCAAGTTTTGTTGCCATACCGCACCATAGCAAAACATGTACGTGTTGCATTATCGGCAAAGGCACATGATCAACTAGGAATTCGCGTGGGTGTAGATAGACTACGTTTAATCCCCTTCCCAGAGGCCGATCAGGCACCCGCGAGATCGAGGAAGCGCTCCGCGCCGAAATGCAATTGTATTCAGGAGGCGATTGCCCAATTACTTGTCCTGCATGTCTGTAGGCAACGTCCGTCAGAAGTACTCATGGCCAATATCTACATTCACCTGCGCACAGCAATACCCTGTACGTATGATCCGAAACACATTGATAATGTACATGTGTATGTAGACTCATCTACACACCTGTACATATGTGTATACATATACTCACATCTATATATATATACACATATATATATACATAGGTATGCGCGTGTGCACCTGTCTCTTGCCCACTCTCTGGCTCGTTCGCTCTTCCCGTGCGTCTCTTCTTGGTGCTTGTGCGAGATCTCGCGTGGGCATCTGGGACATCTGTGCACGGCACGTGAAGGAGGCAAGCCAGAAACCCTCAGTGCAGGCACCGTTTGGAGCAGAACAGTTCAAGATCTGTCCGCGACTTCGGCATGCTGGGCTGCCCCCCCCCAGAGCTTTCTAGACGACCCGAGAGGCCCCCAAAGAGCCCCAGCACGGAACCCGGAGATTACCTCAGGGCATTTTGTAGATTCGGCTCTCCCACCCGGCTCGCGAGGCCTCTGGAAGCATCATGCGGCGACCCCTGGGAGAGCGCCTGCGCGGCCGAGAATTCCGTCAGTTAGGGGTCTGGCCTCAGAAGGAGTTGCTACACATTTCAACACTGAGGACTCGAAGAGACCTGATAACGTTCCAATGCGTGCTTACGTCACGGTGGTGGCCACAGATCAGTGTTGCAAAGCTGCCGATCGTGCCAAAGATGGCGATGACAGTACCACACTCGACTGTGAGATGGTTGTGTCCCCCCGTGCGTGATTGTAGCCGAAGTTGACATTCACTGTGCTCATGCCAGTGGCGATCGGGCCAAGGATGACCGGAGAGCGACTGCACTGAAGGTGACCGTTCGGGGCCCCGAAATGGAATAAGTGCAGTAGATTTGTTTCGACTGGCTCGCCCGAGCCTCCGTGGCGGCTGCCGACGTGGCATGCGACGAGAGAGAGAGAGAGAGACACATATATATATATACACACATATATATATATATACACATATGAAAAACGAGCGGCTCCAGGGGCTAAGCCTGGTCTTCAGATCGAGTGCACGCGCAGGGACGGCGTCAGGATCGCGATCGGAGTGCCCCCGAACCTGAAGCCAGGAGACTTCTTCGAGGCTCGGCGGGGGGGCGGGGGGAGGTCCAGAGTAACTATGTGTGTGCCACGTTCGTACAGCTGGTGCCAGTGCTGCTCCCCCTCCGGCGCTGCCCCTTGCCGCCGGCGGCAGCTCTGGGTGGCCCAGCTTCCTCTCCCCCCGTCGCGCCGGGGCTCTCTCTCCTCCTTCTCCCGTGCATTGCGGCCCTACTTTGCATACGGCGTGTCCCCTCTTGCCATTCTGCCGGAGCAGTCGACCTCTGCCCAGCCGCCGACGCAAAAGTGTGTGTGTGTGTGTGTTTGTGTTTGTGTTTGTGTGTGTGTGTGTGTGTTTGTGTGTGTGTTTGTGTGTTTGTGTGTTTGTGTGTGATTGTGTGTGTGTTTGTGTGTGTGTGTGTATGTGTGTGTGTGTATGTGTGTGTGTGTTTGTGTCTGTGCGTGCGTGCGTGCGTGCGTGCGTGCGTGTGTGTGTGTGTGCGTGTGTGTGTGTGTGTGCCACGGTTGTCGCCATCCGTCCTCGCCCCCCCCCCGGGTGTGCGCCCCGGGCGGCCCGGCTCGGGCTCGCTCCTTTGCCCCCCTTGGTGCCCCTCCCTTCCCCCCGCATACGGCTCCCGCCCTGCCGCGCGCAGCACCGGGGTTCAGTCGGGCGTGTCCCCCTGCAGGGGGATTATCGACGAAAAATTCAACATACCCCAAAAATGCCCCCAAATGCAAAACAAATATTCAAAAGATAGTCGCCGGATTTTTTTGACTATTTCTGGACTATTTTATTATTTTTCGTCGAAAATTCCGATGTAGGGGGACAGGCCCGACTTCACACTGGGGTGCTCCTGTCGCTCTCCTGCCGCTGTCCGGCCGCAGGGCGGGGTCGTCCCTTCGCGCCCAGACTGAAGTCGGGTCTGTCCCTCTACGGGGGGCATGTTCAAACATAGTCTCAAAGAATAGTCTAGGGCACAACTTTGTTGACCACTTCTGCGTATTGTTGTTGGCTTTTAGGGGTATGTTTGAGTTTTCGTCCAAAATCCGCCTGTGGGGGGACATGCCCGACCTAAGCCCAGGCCCCTTCGTCGGACCCCGGCTGGTGGGTCGGCCGCGCTTTCGTCCAGCGTCGACGCCAGCTCGGCACTGCCCGCCTGGCTCGCGGTTGGCTGCTCGCACGGCGGGGCCATCCTTCCGCTTGGCATCGCTCGGACGTTTTCCTTCGGCGAGGACCATCGAGGAGCATCCTTGATCATTTGGCGAAAAAGCCACGCATGAAACCAAAAAAAGCACAGGGAAGGGACGTCCGAGCGATGGCCAGTCCGTGCCCAGGCCCATCGCGCTGGCCCGCGCGGGGGCGTGTTGCGCTCACGCTGCCTGCCCGAGCTCCAGCACTACGATCCTTTCGAAAACGCGGCCCTAGAAGTCCCCATCGCTTCACGGGGGTCGCTTTTCTCGTCCCCTCTCCGTCTTTGCTGCGCCCGTGGCCCCGATCATCATGGCCCCCGAGGGCCGAGAACGAGGAAAAGCGCCGGTTGAAAAAGCCTTATCGCCGGAGATCTGGGCAGGTCGCTTGCTCGGCCTCGGCTTCCGCCACCCCGGCTCCGCTTCCGCTCCCTCCTCTCGCCGCGCGGCCACACGTGCTGCACGCGGGGTCGCCCCGCTGTTCTCCTTCGTCCAGTCGCACGGCGGGCATAGTTTTCGGCCTCTGCTGGCACTCGCCGGGCCCTGGGATTGTAAAACACGGCTCAGGACCTCAGCTGCCTCGCTACGAAGGTTGTCATACGCAGCAGCCAACACGTTGCGTGTTGGCTCAACGTGTTGGCCCGCGCTTTGGCGAACGTACCGCGTCAGACCTACGTTTGCAGTCCACGTGTTGAGCTTGAGCCGTGTAGCAATACGCTACGTGTTGCGTGTTGCGTATCCGGCCAGCCAAGCCCAGGATGAAAAGCAGGTCCCGGGAATCGGCCGAGACCTTTGGCGGTCGACGATGTGAAGATAAATATTGACGTCTGGCGTTAGGGGGTCTCAGAGGGAGAGCCCGTCCGAGCTGCTCAGCCCCGAGGGCGACTCGCGCCTGTCTTCCCGCCGCTGGCCGCCAGTTGGACTTGGCATCGGTCGGACGTGTGCATTTTTTCTCGGCGACGACCATCGAGGAGCATCCTGGATCATCTTGCAGGAGGAAGCCCGCACCGAAATGCACTGGGAATGGATTTCCGAGCGGCGGCAAGTGGAAGCCTTGTCCATTCACTACAGTCGCCCCCACGTCCCTGGACCAACTGGCGGACCACCCGGCCACCCCCCCGATCAATCGGACCACCCGGGCCGGGCCCCCGCCGAACCACCCAGACCAACCCCCGGAACAACCGGACCACCCGGACCACCCAGACCACCTGGACCACCCGGACCACCCGGACCACCCGGACCACCCGGACCACTTGGACCACCCTGACCACTTGGACCACCCGGACCAACCAGACCACTTGGACTATCCGGCTCAACCGGACCACCGAAACCACCCAGACCATTCGGACCACCCAGAATGCCCGGACCAACCTGACCACCTGGACCATCCGAACCACCCGGACCACCCAGACGATGACCCGGACCACCCGAACCAACCGAATTATTTGGACCATCCGGACTATTTCGACAACCAGGACCACCCTGACCACCCGAACCACCCAGGCTACCCAGACCACCCGAACAACCAGACCAACCCGCCCAACCGTACCAACCAGGTATACCAGCCCACCGGCATTTTACTCTTCTCTCCCAGTTCATCGCACCCCGCGCACTCCTCGGCCCCTGAAATGGCCTCCTATCGTCTTTTCAGTCCCGAGGAGTGCGGAGGAGTGCCGAGGAGTGCCGAGGAGTGCGGAGGAATGCCGAGGAGCGCGGAGGAATGCTGAGGAGTGCGGAGGAGTGCCGAGGAGCGCGGAGGAGTGCGGAGGAGTGCCGAGGAGAGCGGAGGAGTGCCGAGGAGGGCGGCGGAGTGCAGAGTGCTGAGGAGCGCCGCGGAGTTCCGAGGAGCGCCGAGGAGTGCAGAGGAGTACCGAGGAATGCAGAGGAGAGCGGAGGGGTACGGTGGGGAGCGGAGGAGTGCCGAGGAGTGCAGAGGAGTTCCGAGGAGTGCGGGGGCGTGCCGAGGAGTGCCGAGGAGTTTAGAGGAGTAACTACCGAAAATGGTAAGGAGTGCGGAGGAGTGCCGCGGAGTGCGGAGGACCGCGAAGGAATGGCCAGGAGTTCGGAGGAGCGCGGAGGAGTGCGGAGGAGCAGTGGTGAGGAGTGCCGAGTAATGCTGAGGAGTGCGGAGGAGTGCCGAGAAGTGCCGAGGGGCGCGGAGGATTTCGATGGTTCGGGGAGGAGTGCTGAGGAGTGCCGAGGGGTGCGATGGAGTGGGAAGGAAGTGGAGTGCCGAGGAGTGCGGAGGAGTGCGAAGGAGCTGGGAGGGGGGGAAGGCGGGAGGAATGCCGAGGACGCTGTATCCTGCTTTTCTTTCATCATCGGTTATCCTCTCTCATTTTCTGAGTCCTCACTTCTCCTTCCTTATATTCCGTGCTTGTGTCCAGCTCCTGCGCACCACTCTCTTCTCCTCTAACCCGGCCTCGTCCCTCTCCCCTGCGTGCGCCGCCAATCCTCCTCCTCCTCCTCCTCCTCCTCCTCCTCCTAATCCTCCTCCTCATCCTCAATCCTCATCCTCATCCTCCGTAAAGTGCAGACGCTCAAACAAGGACCGCGTTGAGTTCAGGAGGGGCTCTGGTTGTTTCCGTTGCCCGCTCCCTGCGTCTAGATGGTGGGATACGTTCCGTGGCCGCGACTCGCCGAGGCCGGCGAGTCCGCAAAGCAGCGCAGCGATGGTACCGCCGAGTGTCGGCCCCTCGCGCGCGGGTCCCGTCCCCGCAGAGGTGCTCCCACCCGCCATCATCGTGAGGGTCCCCGACGACGCCAAGGACGGTGGCCCTCGGCTCCGCCGCGCGGTCAGCGCGCCCTCGACCCCCCCTCCTCCTCTTCCTCCTCCTCCGCCTCCTCCTGCTCCTCCTCCTCATCATCATCCTTCTTGTGCTCCTCCTCCTCCTCCTCGTCGTCCTCCTCGTCCTCCTCCTCGTCCCCCTTCCGCGCGCGCAGAGTGTGCGGAAGATATGGTGGTGGGGGGCGGAGGGGAGGTCCGCGCGGTTGCGCCCGCCGTCTGCCGGCCCTCGTCCTCGTCGCCCTCCTCCTTCTCATCGTCGTGGTCGCGCTCCGTCTGCTCTTCGTCCGTCGCCAGCTCCTCCTGGTCGCTGCCCTCCCCCTACCACCAGTCGCCCCCCCTCCCTCCCCCTTCCGTCCTCGCCGTCAACTCTTCGCCCCTCGTCTTCCTACCCTCCTCGCCCTCCCTCCTCCTCCTCCTCCTCCTCCTCCTCCTCCTCCTCCTCCGCCTCCTCCTCCGCCTCCTCCGCGCCCACTCGGGGCGCAGGGGGCGCCTGCCCGCTAGGTGCACGCCGCTCGGGGGTGGTGCCCGCGGGTGTTGGCCCCGCTTCCGCGGCGCCCGCCGCCGCCCTCCCGAGCGGAAGGTTGGCCTCGCGCGGCCTGCCTCCTCGGGAAGCAGCCCCCTCCGAGCACGCCGCGGGGAGCTCCCAGCGGCACACCTCCTCGCCCGACGACGACGACGACGACGACGACGACGACGACGACGACGACGACGACGACGACGACGACGACGACGAAACGAGTGCCAGTACGCAGCAGGGAGCTCCCAGCGTCCTACCGAAAAACTGCCACCGCCCCGTCGGGGCTCGAGACCCGCCCGGCATCAGAATGTGCGGTGCGGCAGCGCCAGCCCCAGGAGCGACGCATCGCAGCCATACGGCCTGGGAGTCTCGCCTGGCCTCTGTCCCCCGGTCGCCTGCGGGTAGGTTCGCGCCATGTCGCTCGGCGGCGACCCCGCCGCCAGTTGGACGCCTCCAGTGACGCCAGAATCGGTCGACGTTGAACGATTTGACGTTTCGGAAACGGCCGACCGTTCAAGGTTGAACGATCCCCGCGGTGTTAGGCAGAAGCCTCAAGGGAGGAAAAAGCAGCCCGACCCCCAGATTCAACTCTCGTTCGCTGAGCAACCTTTACTAGGCAACCCAACCCTGACCCGGGTGCGTCTTGTGAGGGTGGCTCCCATGTCCGCCACAGCCCTCTCTGGGTCTGCTGCCGCAGCAGCTCCGGCTCCCCAGGGCCCCACCGCCGTCGGCGGTGCCTCGGCGCTGCGGCACGCTCTGGAGCCCGCTACTCTTCTCTTCGCCCTCGCCGTCACCGGTGCCGCGGCGAGGCGGCGCGATGCGGAGCCCGGGTGCGGGCGGCAGGGCACGAGCTTGCCTGCCGCGCCCCCGGGCTCGCCTGCCGAGGTGTGGGCGCCCTCGCGTCCTCCCCGCTGCGCCGCGCGCGGCCGCCCTCTGCCCTCGCCGAGCGCGCTTTCTCGCTGCTCGCAGAGTGCCTCCCCGCGAACGTCCGAGAAGCACACGTGTCTGCTTCGAAGTAGCTTGTCGCAGATCCCCCGCGGCGGATCCAGGCCATCTGCGAGTGGTCACCTTTGCGCGCAGTGGGCCGCGCTCGTCTATGCCCTCTGCCGCTGCCTCTGCCGGCCGTGGCCCCCGCGCCGCCCCCGTTGCGGACCGCGCCTTCCCGCGCGGATCTCGCGCGCCAGGCGCGCTTGGCGCCCGCGCGCGCCCCGCCCTGTCGGGCACGCCCCTGGCGCCTCTGAAAGGGGCCCGGGGGAGGCACGAACGAGTGAGCGCAGGCCCCGGGATCCTCACCATTTTGCAGGATCTTCTGGGATTTCGGCTTGTTCTCCCTGGCTGTCTTTAGGGCGGGTTTAGGTTGAGTTGGTTGAGTGTTTTTGTGGTTTGATGCCGACGACGATTGTAATGATGGTGGTTATCAGATCGTAGTGCTGATGGTGGTGGCGATGGTGATGGTGATGATGGCGGTGCTCATCACATCCACAATCACCATCATCACATCACCATCACCATCATCACCATCACAACCGCCCTTACCATACCATCATCACCATCCCCATCATCATCATCATCATCATCATCATCATCATCATCATCATCATCATCATCATCATCATCATCATCACCATCCATACCATCAGCATCGCCATCACCATCACCATCGTCACCATTGTGGTCCGTAGGACTTGGCTCAAGGTAATGTCATGGAGCTCTAACATGCTATGTAAGAGCTCCTTGGGAGCTCTAACATGCTATGGTAGATTTCGATGTGAGGGTTGTGAACTCTAACATGCTATGTTAGAGCTCGATGGGAGCTCTAACATAGCATGTTAGAGCTCCCATCGAGCCGTCCCCCCCGCCGTCGTCGTCGTCGTCGTCGTCGTCGTCGTCGCCGTCGTCGTCGTCGTCGTCGTCGTCGTCGTCCCATCGGGCACGTCCGCATGCCGCCCCCCCCGCCGTCGTCGTCGTCGTCGTCGTCGTCGTCGCGGTCGTCGTTGTCGTCGTCCCATTAAGGCACACCCTCACACGTCTTGTCGGCCTCACGTGGAGCTCCGCCGAAGGCTCCAATGAGCATTTCCATTTTGCGCGTCCGCCTCATTTCGGCAACCCCCTCAGACGCTTCGCGGCCCCCATCCGCAATGCCTCGGGCTCCACCCCTCTGGCGGCGCGCTACCTATGAGGAGAGAGTCATCCTGCGCCACTCGCAGCTGCATGGGGTTGGGCCCTTACGACGGCGACGACTTCCACGAGGACGACGAGGTGAAGACGGCGACGACGACGACGACGACACATCCTCTCCGCAGCCGCCTCCTCATCCTCCTCTCCTTTCCTCCCACGTACCTGGTCATCCATCCAACCTTCCACTGTGTTCCTCCCACGAATCCTCGTCGTCGTTGTCCTCCTCCTCCTCCTCCTCCTCCTCCTGCTCATCCTCCTGATCCCCCTGTGCCTCGTACCCTGCATCCCCCTCTCCTCGCCTTTCTTCTTCTTCCTCCTCATCATTATCATCACCATCATCATCGTCAGCAGCAGCAGTATCGGCATCCTCAGCATCATCATCATAGTCGTCAACATCATCGTCATCATCATCATCATCATCATCATCATCATCGTTCTCATCATCATAATCAGCATCCCCCCGTGGCCCATGGCCCTCTTCCTGCTCACCCTTTTTCCTGCTCTCCTGCCCCTCCTGCTCCTCATCCTCCTCCTTCTCCTCCTCCTCACGCTCCCCCTCATCCCCCTCCTCCTCCTCCTCCGCTCCGCCTCCCCCCCTCCCCCACCAGCAGCAGCAGCACTAGCACCAGCAGCAGCACCAGCAGCAGCACCATCAGCAGCAGCAGCAGCAGCAACAGCCGCAGCAGCAGCATCACTGGCAGCACCGGCAGCAGCACCACGAGCACCTGCAGCAGCATTACCACTAGCAGCAGCAGCAGCAGTAGCAGCAGCCCTCTTGGGCCATCTTGGAGCCATCTTGGGGCCTCGGATGGTCATCGGAAGCGAAAAGGCGAGAAGGCACAAATCACATATTTTCTGTAAGTTTGTTTTAAAGATTTTGGCATCTTGGGGGCCTCCTTGGAGGTCTCCGAGGCCTCTTGGAGCCGTCTTGGAGCGTTCTTGGGGCCCCTTGGAGAATCTTCGGGGCCATGGAGCTCTAACATAGCATGTTAGAGCTCCCAGGGAGCTCTAACATGGCATGTTAGAGCTCCATGTGAGCCCTAATCGTCATCATCATCACCCTCATCATCATCATCATCATCGTCGTCGTCGTCGTCAGCATCATCATCATCATCATCGTCATCGTCATCATCATCGTCGTCGTCGTCACCATCATCATCAGCATCGTCGTCATCATCATCATCGTCATCATCATCATCATCGTCATCATCACTGTCATCATCGTAGTCAGCATCCCCCCATGGCCCATGGCCCTCCTCCTGCTCACCCTTTTTCCTGCTATCCTGCTCCTCCTGCTCCTCATCCTCCTCCTTCTCCTCCTCGTCACGCTCCCCCTCCCCCTACCCCCTCCCCTGGACCTGGACGGGGCGCCCCGCGGGTAGTTAGAGAGCCCAAGATGGCCCAAGACGGCTCCAAGAGCTCCTCGGAGAGCCCGAGATGACCTCCGAGATGCTTCAAGATAGCCTAAGATGCCTCAAGATGGCCCCGAAGATTCTCCAAGGGGCCCCAAGAACGCTCCAAGACGGCTCCAAGAGGCCTCGGAGACCTCCACAGAGGCCCCCAAGATGCCAAAATCTTTAAACAAACTTACAGAAAATATGTGATTTGTGCCTTCTCGCCTTTTCGCTTCCGATGACCATCCGAGGCCCCAAGATGGCTCCAAGATGGCCCAAGAGGGCCCCAAGAGGGGGCCAAGAGAGCCCCAATACGGGCCCAAGAGCGCCCAAGAGCGCTCCAAGAGCGCCCCAAGGGGGGTCCAGGAGGCTATTTTGTGGGTTCCCGAGGGGCAGGGCGATTTGAGGGATCCCCCTTCGTTGATCGATTTCCCTCACATGGTAGAGCTCCCAGGGAGCTCTAACATGGCATGTTAGAGCTCCCAGGGAGCTCTAACATGGTATGTTAGAGCTTCAGGGAGCTCGAACAAACCCAGAGGGGGGCCTTAACCAGCGAAGTAGGAAGTCTTAACCGCTCCGCGCCCGAGCGCGGAACGGTTGAGACCCCCTATGGCGAGAGGGGGGTCTTAACCAGGATTCGATCGATCGCGCAACGGTTAAGACCCCCTCCTGTCGCCAGGGGGGGGCCTTAACCGTTTCACAATCGATTGCGCAACGGTTTAAGGCCCCCCCCTTGCGAGAGGGGGTCTTAACCGTTGCGCAATCGATTGTGAAACGGTCAAGGGGCGGCGGCGGCGGCGGGCCGGCGGCGGCGGCGGCGGCGGCGCTTGACCGTTTCACAATCGATTGCGCAACGGTTAAGACCCCCCCTGGCGAGAGGGGGGTCTTAACCGTT